TAATAAAGATCTTTATTATCTATGATTGATATAAGATACGAACATAACCTCAATATTGTTGTCAATTGAAACGGTAACCATATAAAACCTGAACCGTGGTTATAGTGATTAATGATCCGTTATCATAACTTATAATCTATGATTTTTGATAAAGCGTGTTTTGTAAGATTTTTTTGATTTTTTAATGGTTTTTTGAAGCTATCTATTTAACTTCAAAAAAATCCGTTAAGCCGATCATTTAAATGGAATCTCCATAAAATTCCCTATCGATAAACATACGGTTTGACCATTTATCGTTCTCCTATCTGGGATTAATCTCATCCACAAATAGACGACCACAATAGTTCTGAAAAGAGTAGATACTTATTTTGTATATTCAACTAATATACTAATACTACAATACTATTTTATAGAATATACATCATCTATCATTTACTTATTGACTATACCTATTGTCCTATTAGTAGATTTTGAGACATGTCATATTATAGTATTATACATGCAACATGCACAACAAATTGCATTTAATTTTAATCATTTTCGAGATGTTGATGATTGAAATCCTAAGTTCATCAGTTAATAATTATACATATAAACAATTGTTCATATTAAAACCACTAATAGATTTATTATGGATGTGATTATAAGAATAGGTAACTACTTAAACAAGTTACTTAGTAAAGTAATAAACTACTGGCACAGAATGTTCTATAAATATGTACCTAGGTACCTGTAATTGTTTTTAAAGTTCAACAAATCATTAGTTGTAGATGACGTTCACATAAGATAATATTATATTTTTATGTTCCCAAACGTTTCGGTTTAGGCCCTTCTAAAACGTACTGCCGGAGCCGGGGGTCCTCGAACACCCCCCCTAGGTGTATTTTTGAAAAGGTTTAATTTTTGTATGACGTTTCTGAAACTCGAGATCTGTATAGTTTGGAGGTCGGTGATCAAATTCGGCGTCTTGTGTCGAGACCATAGGGGCCGTTTTTCTCCGTCTTTTGGGGCTTCGAAAGTTCAAAATTTGGGTTTTTCGGAGTTTCCGTTACTGACACTTAGATTTTGGGCGTTCCGAGACGTTTTTGTAGTCGGGCTTTATAGAGCACTTTAGGCCTGAACGATTGGCACCGATATCGAGGTGATCCGACTTTTAGTTCGGGAGTTATGATTTTTAAAGTGTTTTTTGTACTTAGAAAATTACGTATTTACGTGTTTTTTAGATTTTTTTTTTTCGTTTGATCACTACAAAATTCTAGAACCTGATCATTCGGCGTACGAGGATTCAAAAAACCTCTATGGTCAAAATACGTACGACCATTATTTCGCCCGCAATCGTAGTAGCAAAAAGTTAGAAAACAAATTATGCTATTTTTCGTATTATCAAGGCGTCTCCTTGTGGTATACGTCTGTGTAACGTATCAAGTAATAATTATTTTGAACTTTTTTTCACACTTATTTTAGTAGGCGTGTAGCTCATTATTCATTAATGTAAATCGATAGGTATATAAGAATAAAATATTAAAACCTATAAAATAATAGGTCAATTCACTCTAATATATGTATTTGAGCTATCAACACAAAATTGGATATATATTTTGAAGTACTAGCTCCTTCAATATAAGTCGTATCGTTATGAAACCTTCAAGGAACGAAGCAGTCAACCCTCGAGATCAAATGCATGGTCTCAAAAAAGCCGCGACTCGATTTTAAGTTCGAGAAATTGGCAAAAGAAAATTTCCCGCCAATTTTTTTTTTTGAATAATTTAAATTTTTACCTCAACATTTACCCCCTTAATATTTGAGTTAATGAACTTTTATAAACTCGCAAATGATCTAGGGACGCTTCTGCTTCGATCCTCGAAGGTTTCATAACGATAAGACTTATATTGAATGATTTAGGTTTTCGAAATATTACGAATTTTAAAAACCTATACAAAACCTAAATCCTTCAATAAAAATCATATCTGTATAAAACCTTCTAGGATCGAAGCAGAAGCGTCTCTAGACCAGTTTCCACTTTTTAAAAGTATTGAAACTCAAATATTAAGGGGGTGAGTGTTGAGTTCGAAATTTGATTTTTTCAAAAATAAAATTGGCGGGAGATTTTCTTTTGCCAATTTCTCGAACTTAAAATCGAGTCGCGGCTTTTTTGAGACCATGCATTTGATCTCGAGGGTTGACTGCTTCGTTCCTTGAAGGTTTCATAACGATACGAGTATACGACTTATATTGAAGGAGCTGGTACTTCAAAATATATATCCAATTTTGTGTTGATAGCTCAAATACATATATTAGAGTGAATTGACCTATTATTTTATTCTTATATACCTATCGATTTACATTAATGAATAATGAGCTACACGCCTACTAAAATAAGTGTGAAAAAAAGTTCAAAATAATTATTACTTGATACGTTACACAGACGTATACCACAAGGAGACGCCTTGATAATACGAAAAATAGCATAATTTGTTTTCTAACTTTTTGCTACTACGATTGCGGGCGAAATAATGGTCGTACGTATTTTGACCATAGAGGTTTTTTGAATCCTCGTACGCCGAATGATCAGGTTCTAGAATTTTGTAGTGATCAAACGAAAAAAAAAAATCTAAAAAACACGTAAATACGTAATTTTCTAAGTACAAAAAACACTTTAAAAATCATAACTCCCGAACTAAAAGTCGGATCACCTCGATATCGGTGCCAATCGTTCAGGCCTAAAGTGCTCTATAAAGCCCGACTACAAAAACGTCTCGGAACGCCCAAAATCTAAGTGTCAGTAACGAAAACTCCGAAAAACCCAAATTTTGAACTTTCGAAGCCCCAAAAGACGGAGAAAAACGGCCCCTATGGTCTCGACACAAGACGCCGAATTTGATCACCGACCTCCAAACTATACAGATCTCGAGTTTCAGAAACGTCATACAAAAACTAAACCTTTTCAAAAATACACCTAGGGGGGGTGTTCGAGGACCCCCGGCTCCGGCAGTACGTTTTAGAAGGGCCTAAACCGAAACGTTTGGGAACATAAAAATATAATATTATCTTATGTGAACGTCATCTACAACCTATAAATGATTTATTGGACTTTAAAACTATTACATATTCATACGTTAGTTCGCATTTGGTAATTACGCCAGCAACATACAACTTTCTATGCCAGTAGTTTTCCTAGAAGTAGGTAGTTACCTATTCATATAATCACATCGATAGTAAATCTAATTAAGAGTGTTAACCATGAACAATTGTTTATATAATTGACGAACTTTAAATTTCAATCATCAAAGTTTATGATGTGTATACGTCTCGAAAATGATTATAACTAAATGTATTTTGTTATAATATTATAATATGACATGTCTTTAAATCTACTGACGCTGGACAATAGGTATAAACGTATAGTTAATTAGTAAATGACAGATGTATATTATAATATTAGGTATGTACTATCTATTCAGAACTTTTGTGGTCGTCTGTTTGTGGATGAGATTAATCCCACATAGGAGAACGATAAATGGTCAAACCTTATGTTTATCGATAGAGAATTTTATGGAGATTCCATTTGAATAGTCGGTGTAACGAATTTTCCAGTAGTTAAATAGATAGCTCCAAAAAACCATCAAAAAATCAAAAAAATCATACAAAAATCGCTTTATCAATAATCATAGATTATAAATTATGATAACGAATCATTAATCACTATAACTGCGGTTCAGGTTTTAGATGTTTGAACGTTTTAGTGGGTAGATTTAATCTTGTTCTATGATTCAATCAAAGCCGGATTGAGCTGGGGCGTCTAGCCGGGGCCCCTGGGGTCTTCTCAAGTACCACTGTCAAAAGGGGCCAAACAATTTTAAGCTGATACATTTAAAAAAACACTATATTTAGAGGTAATACCTAGAGGTATTTCCTTGTATAGTTGTATATTTACTTTTTTAAAAATATATTTCATAATATTCCTGTAGCAAATTGTTCTGCGAAGAGAGCTTTATCTAAATTAATTAGAATAAAAAATAAGTTTAGAAACAGTCAGACATAAGAAAATTTAGACATACAAATGATTTTATATTCTGAGAGTTATGTGTTAAAATAATTAGACTTAAATTAAGTAGGTACTAAGAGAATTGGCTTCAAGTAAAGCCAAAAAAATAAATGTACTTGATAAAATAGTTTTTGTTTTTTATATTAACTTTTTGTTGATATTTTATTTTATTTGTATTTTAATTAACTCACGCTCAATCGGGATATTTATTGTAAATAAATATACTGTTAATGAAATTAAAACTTATTATGAACATTTGAATTCAAATTAATGAAATACTAAGTTTTTATTAAGTATTTTATAAATATAGGTACCTAGTAGTTTTATAGACATAAATTAAATATATATTAATTATATAATGCAATTGTACATTTGTGAAATAGAAATATTTATCTATGAAATTAGGTTTTGCTAAGCATGTTTTGTGAAAAGGGCCCATATGAATAATATAATATAAAGTATATTATACACTTTTTCTTGGTTAGATCTAGACTTGTGTCTGGGTCAGTCTTCTGTCTGGTCACTAAGTTATACCAATTACCAATCATATTAAAAATATAGAAAACGTTCAATATAAATTTCTTAAAATTATATGCTTCAAATTAAATTTGTCACCTCTAGACCTCTAAAGTTCAATATTAATAAAAATAACTTTTCTTTTTAAATCATATTTTAAAAACAATGTAATATGCAGTGTATACTAGTTAGTAGTTTATTAATTTTACAATTTTTTACTAATAATAACAAACGTATAAAATAACACAGTTGAATAATAACACATTTTATAAACACAATAATTCAATAACAATAAACTTAATAAATTACATTATTTAATAATAAAACATTTAACAATAACAGACCCCCGACAATGTTAAGTAAAATATTTTTATAAGTGGACAAGCAGAAAATGTAATTTAAACTCAAATATTTACAGTGTTTAGTATTTACAACATACTCAGGGATAAGGTCCAATCTGTTCTTGAACATACCCATCATTTCGGTGACCAGTCCTCCTCAAAAACATTAATAGGTCACTGTCTCTGTTGAGTTGTTGTACCGACTCTCTTATGATCCGCGTAGCGTTTTCTCTTAGAGATCTGGAAGTACCGTCTCTAATCTAAAAAAATAAATATAATTGACATAATTCAACCACAATCAATACAACAAATCATGTTTATTCAAAAAAATATAATTATTACCGTGAGGTTATTTGTGCGCTGTTGAAATTCTACATAGAACTGATTTTCAACAATAATCAGTCTTTCTGTTTAGAAAAAAAAAAATATATTTATATTAATTATTGATAATATAATATTGTTGACAGTAAAAATAATTGTAAACAATATTTTGTTTTCATGCTACATATACTAATAAAAGTGATACATTTATAAAGCACAATTAATGTTCACCACACAACTAATATTTATAATGCTACATTTACACACAAGCAAGTATTTTAAGTAATAATTATTTAAATTTCTCAAAATTAAAATTATTTGTATCAATGATTCAAAACTAAGGGAATTAAATAGATTTTACAACACCAGGTTAAGCTTATCAAGACAACAATAAACAATTAGAGCAAATAGCAAACAAACTATATACTATGTTAAAAATTAAAAACAAATATTGATAGAACTTACTAATTTTATTCTTAAGAATTGTTCTTACACTGTTGATTATGTTAAACATGTACCTAACAACACAAACATAAAACACATAACACATATAACATATAACACAAACATGTATAGGATAATGCAACATAGAGATCACAGTATGGTCAAGTGCAACTATGACGACTCACAAAGAAAATCCCAAATATTAGGGTGGCGTCCAATTTGTGTGAGCAACGTTGAATGGAAAGATTCCAAGTAATTGTTGGTCCGGTGATCTTGACCAAAAACACTTAGGCGCCGTGGACCAATTTGCACAAACCAATAATCAAATACATAGTCCCTCAGAAAACGACTCATAACCTCACTGATGTCAGGAAACTGTAAGGTGTACGCGACAATTGTATGAAACCCATCTTCCATACAAAAATTAGGGCACCCGGGATTACCCCTTTCAGCCGGTAGGTGAGGCAATGCTAATACCTGAAATATAAAATACAATTGAAATACAACAATGTTTACTTGTAAATAAAACTCAAAATTACCATTCTGAAAATACGAGCTGCCACTTCATGCCTCTTCACCAAATTTAAGACACCATTAACTTTTCGGTGACAATATCGAACAACTGACTGTGACATTCATATAAATTTTAAATAAATATTATTAGGTTTACCCGGCAGGTATGATCATAACAAAATGTTTTATATTAGGTACCTGTGAAAAATGGAACCAGCAGCAGAGCAATTCACTGTTTGGAAATATTCGCTGGACAGCATTCATAAGAGCACGCTCATAATCAGTTACAAAACGGATTCTGTCATAATTCAGTGGTAGAATATTGCGTATGACAGTGAATAACGCAGAGTATGTTTCTTCCGTCTCACTCCCCAAAAGGACATAGACCATTGGGAATGCCTAAATTGTAAATAACAGTATATTAGACAATTATGACAACAGTAATAAGTAATAACGAATATCAACATAATAAATTGCTTACTACACTTTTGTAGAGTACTTGAAATGTCAGAAAACATCGCAAGTCCCCTGGCACTTGAGGAATTGTCTTATATGTACTATCTATTCCAACCATCTCTACTGTAGCCAACTCTTGACGGTATTTTTCAATTGCAGAAATGTTTGCAAAAATTACACCTACACTTACTCCATTTACAATCAATTCTTGATTGAAAAATGCTGAGGAAGGAATTTGGAATGTAGAAGCGTAATTTGAATTTCGGGGGTCGCTCAGCATTTCTGAGAGTTCATGGATGTTCTGAGGCAACTGTGGGCGCCTTGATTGTCTCATTCTTTTTGCTCTGGATTGTGTCTGGAGGAATGTATAGCTTATGGCAGCTTGAGGATGTCTAAAACAGTATAACAAATTAATACATATTTAGCATAATTTATGTATTTCATCACAACAATTAAGTTAACTAACTTACTTAATTATTTCACTGTTATAAAGACCGCGAACTGATGGGGTTGTAACTGTGCGGTCAACAGCTCTTTCACCAAGTGCATTCCTCAAGAATGGAACATCCAAGTTAATTGCTTCTGGATCATGATTGTGATCAGTTACAATACGAAGCCGGTTGTCTCTCTCATTAATACTGATTGATGCTGAAACATGGCACATAAATCACCTCTGGGATTTTTTCGTAGCTCACAAATTAGATTTATCGTATTGACCAGTAACTTCTTACGATAATATTTGAATCCCAAATTGTCCACATAAAATTTTGAGTTGAGTCTAATGCCGGGGATTATTCTATATGTTCTTGGTTCAGCATGCATAACAAGTTCTACTGCTCCATCTTCTTGTTCTACTGCTCCATCTTCTTGTTCTTCTGCTTTCCATCTCTTCTTGTTCTCCTGCTTCATCTTCTTCTTCTTCTTCATCAGGTGCTGGTCCATCTTCTAATGCTTCTCTATCTTCTTCTGGCTGGGCCTGAATCTGAACTGCAGGCAACTGTTGGGCGTAGGTATGATCTTGCAGGTAGATGTTTGGAGCACCAACTTCTTCTTCTTCTTCATGATTGGCTGGGATGACGTAATTGTGATCCCTCAGCGCCATTATGGAGGTGTACCTATGCTGAAAAAAACTTTAAAAAACTTAAAAAATATTAAACAAAGTAACAAAAGAAAATATAATGAATAGTATAAATATAAATGGTTGGCCTTAAAAAAAACCGTTTTTCTTTTTTTTCTTGTACTCGCAGGTAAATCGCAGGTGTAACTATTGCAGGCAAATTGCAGATAGACAGATCTATATAAAATATTGAAAATTATATCAGGATCTATAGTATCACATATATCATAAAATAACTAATCAATATAATTAGGTTTTTGGTTACATTTACATATTACATTCGTTATATTAACGATTTATAACATAATTATTCACTTTACATAAACTGAAGTCGATTCAGTTAAAAACATACATCATTAAGGTTGGCAATCAAAATAAATTCAATTACTTAAAATTATTTTGGTGTTTCCATAGTTATTTGATACAACATCAAAACACAGGCAATATCAATATCATTGATTCTTCCAAACAGGCCAAAAAAAAAATTCCTATCATAACTGTAGTTAAATTTTTATACTATTAAAAATTTATTTGAAAAATATATTGAATTGAGGAGTTCACACATAGTAAAGTTAAAAATAGTGAACGAAAACTCAACTTTACCAAACATGACTGTATAGGTTGTTAACATATACAAACACTTTTATCCAAATAATTGTCTTGTACAATACTATTTATAACTTAAATCAATGAAAGTCTATTCAAAATATGTAAACATATTATTTAAAAAAAAGTAAAAAGTGGCTTTAAGACATAATATTATGAGTGGCTTTGAATATTGTTTTAATAGATAAGTAAGACATTATTAAGAATTGATCAATTATTTACCATTCATAACTGAGAACATATCATAAAATAAACTTAAAATAAAGGCCTAAAAAAATCACTAATGATCAGAAAATAGTGACTATTTCACACTATAGTCTTTCTATAACAATCCCATTTTTTCCACTATGAGTAGGATTGAACAACATATCAAAATATGTATAACCGTGTAATACTAAAGTTATGGTTAGGTATTGCAGGAGTGTCATCAAAACAGCCATCACCAACCAATGACTATCACAACAAGGTCCATGGTTTTTGAAATACATTTGGAAGATTTTTGAGAGCAGCATTCAGTATTTTCAAATCTGCAATTATGAACAATTTTAAAATGTTATACCTTGTTACAATCAATCTGGATAATTCTGTTGAAGGCAGTGAACTAAGTGTCAATATGACTTTATAATACCACTGACATCATTATTAATTTACACTTAATATTTAATAAAGACCTAGTTATATTAATATTTAATGCTTTGTAATTATCATAGTGGCTTGTTTATGAAAGCACCCTCCTTCCAGAGAATGTTTAAAGATCCCAACATTTAAACATGTCAATAATATAATAATTTAAGTGGGTTTATTTTGTAAATCAAAATGAAAAAAACTTATTTTAACATTCAATTGATGTATTTGTTCAATTTCATTAATTTGTTTTTGTATAAAACTATGAACTTCTAATAAAACAAGTGAGATATAATATGCGAGAATATAAGCATTTTGAACTGATTTATAAAATTATTTCACTTTTACAACACCCACCACCCACAAAAAAGTAAGTTTTTAAATGTCACTGGTAATTATTTACCAAACCACAAAGTTAAACGATTACAATGTCACTGTCGATGCTGCTTTCTCACTACAGTAATATAAAACCTAAATTAGTTATATAGTTACCTTTCAGTATTAAATCATTTCATAGAACACTTAAAATACAAGTACACGTTTTGTATCATATTATTACAATAGTTTGTTGATTTTTGCTTATTCATTGACACTTGTAACGAGCGCCATATTACAAATTAATAAAGGTTGAACTTCTTTTAATAAAATGTACAATATAATAATCCTAAATATTTAATTTAACTGTAAATTTTACCATTTAAATAATAACTTTAAATATCTAATTGTTTTTTTAACAAAATTTAGTCAATTAGATATAATATTATTTTATTTTATTTTTATTAAGATACAGGCCATGGCCCAAAACCAATGAGAATAATATAATAGGTATTACAATAAATTAAATGATAAATAGTATTAAATATAATAAAATTAACAATTAATCAATAATAATTGAAAGTAATAATATTTACAATAATATTGGCTATACCCTGTTGAACAGTAATTTTAAGGATAATTGAAGCTGGGGTCTTCATTAGCAATCCGCATTAGACGGTTAGGTTAGGACTCTCTCTACCATTAAAGCATGCAGATAATTAAGGGTCCAAAATAACAGATCCATATTCTAAAATAGGTCGGACTAGGGAGCAAAAGAGAAACTTCAATGACCGGTGGTATATAAGTAACTCAATGATAGAATACCTGAATTTAGGTACAATAATACATTTATTAATATATTCTAAGAAAAGAAAAAGTGTCTATTCAAATAAATTGTGATTAGTTATTAATTAATTATATCTAGTATGTAAAATATATATAATTGTTACATATTTATAAAGAATTTTGGGTCCTTTAATTGTTAAAGCCCTAGGGCATTTAAAAACAACAACAAATTAGTTCTTTGCAAGTGTGTGATTATTAATGAATAATTTATATTTTATTACAGTTAAAATCACTAAACGACAATAATTAATAGGACTTTGTTAACAATTTTATTCTTACAATTTGGTTTTTAAATCACTAATTGTATACTTCTAGGTTTGTGAACGTTGTCCAACACATTTATTCTTTAAATTTTTTCAAAGCATTTAACAAATTACTGATTTAAAATAAAACTTTTTCCGTGAACTAGCTATTACAAAAATGTTATTGTTATAAAATCATTTATTCATGTTTTTTATCCAACGGTTTTATTAAAAAAGTGGCTTTTCCTAACTTAAACAAGTTAGTTCAAATTGTTAGAGATAGTTACAATTTAAATAAGTACTGCAACATGTGCGTGTAGTTTTTTAAAGTATGCAATACATTAAAAATTGGTTGAATGTTTGTTTTAGATATTGAGACGGATGTTGCAACTAACAATAAAAACAGAATCAGTGTTAGCTAGATACAGCACAAAAAAAAGAAAAGCTAATATAAAATGTAGGTATGTTAATTGTAACTTCTAAAGTACCTATAATTATAATATATACTTACAAGTTAAAATAACATACCTACCCATAAATTTTTATATAAGCTTTCTTTTATAACAATATATGATTACCTAGTTAATATACAAAATATGAATGAATAAATTGTTGAAGTTGTGTTACAAAA